ATTGGTAAAAATAAATTTGTAATTATACCAATTTTGTGACTATAGAGGAGGTGACTATAGAGGGGTTTGACTGTATCAATGAAAATTATTTTATGGTTTTTTCAAGACTTTATCTAAATCTTCTATCTTTCTTTGTAAAGTTTTGATTACTTCCAAGACATTGTGTAAGTCTTGATAAACGTTGTTAGTCGCTTGAGTTGTTTGTGTGATGTTTCTTATTTCAATTAAAATATCTTGGGATGGTTGAACGAAATCATATGTCGTTACCTTTTGTAAATCGAGTTTTCCTGACATATTTTTCTAAATATATTTTTTTTTAAAAAAAATAAAGGATTAATTATAATTTAAATCAGAAATATAAAAATTTAAATCAGAAATATAAAAATTGAATATACCTTTAGTGCAGTATTTTTTTAATTTAAAAAATAAAACCAGGAAGAAATCCTGGTCGTTTAAATTATCTAAAGCTTGCTCTTATATAATTTTTCACTCGTTCAAATCATCTTAATCAAATACAATGAATGCATAACGATAAGTTTATGCAGATTTCTATATTTCAGAGACGCCCTTTGTGCATGAGATTACGATTGCGTTATGAAATGATAAGCACGTAATTATAATAAGAATATTCGACCAATTTTACCGAACTATTCAATTGGAACATGGTTGGGAAATTTTTAATTGCCACATTGTCAATAACAAATTGGCGTTAATCTATGAAATGATAAATACGTAACGGTAATTACGTATTATAATAATGAAATACGCATCGAATCCAAAAATTATAATGAAAACCTGAAGTTCTTATCACTTAACTATTATAACTTTGCAGAATTTAAATGTCGTGTATGCCTATGGTGTTTAAAAAATTCCACTGATTCAATAAAAAAAACATGAAAGTAACGGGTTTTAAATATGTGAAATTTGATTGTATCAAGACTGTACAAAACATTTAATAATGTTAAAGTGATGTTAAAAAGAAGGGCTGCCAAGAAATTGTCTACAATTTTAATGAAAAATTGATACTATGGAGGTTTAATTGTTTAAATCAGTTTTTGCTAAGAACATCTGTGATTAAGGACCCATTTACCAATACGATCACATGTAATGTGTGAGGGATGGTTTTCGTTCAGCTTTTTTGCTGTCTATATTTTTCCTATTTTAAAAAGTATTATTCTCTCTCGGATCAACTTATCGAATTAATGAAACACAATGGGGTTGTGCCGTGCTGCAGTCTTTACATTCCCCATCGTTTTACATTTTACTTTTACGGATTGCTTGGTTTCTAATTCATATCGATATATATTATGTACCAACTACATGGTCACGTGGCGAGAAGGAAGTGGATAGGATCGGGTACGCGCGTGACATACCGCGATTTTGTAAAAAAAATTTTTTTTCTTTCTTTCTATGCGAGTGTCAGGAAGCAAGTTACCGAACATTCATTTTTCATTCTTTTCCTAATTTTTAATTTTTCCAATACAATTTTCTTTCCATAATACTAATTTATCATTTCCAATTGTCCTTTTCTCTTCCTTTTTTTTTCCTCAGGAGGGCTGGGCAGTAGTATTACGAAAAAGTAAGACCAAAATCAAGCAGCAAAGGAAAAAAGGCACTACTTATTTTTCTCTTTCTTATCCTTTATATTGTACACTGGCGATCATAAGTAGTGCAACAAAAAAAAAAATTTACTTAGATCATACTACCTCCCGCAATTCCGGCC